ATTCCTGTGTTGGACATTGAGGTGTTCCCAGCTTTCAGGTGGGACATCTACACTGAACATCTTCGTGTATTAATCTTTGCCCCTGTACCTCCATGAAGGCTCTGGGACCCTGCCTTGAGCTGTAGTATTTCAAGTCCTAGGTCCTCAAGTCTGCATTTAATTGACAGGAAAGGAGAAGAACTCAGGCCACATGGGCTGATACAGGCTGGGTCACTGTAACAACATAACTTGTGATTGACAAGTTGGCAACTGGCCAAAGACCTGGCCAAACAACTGGGCATGCTGGATTTTCCAGAACACCTGCTATGCATCATACACACTGGGCACCACACCATAACCTTTCCCCTTTTCTGTTTCACTGCCAGGTGGAGGCCCTTCTGGCATCTGAGGATTACGGCAAAGACCTGGCTTCTGTGAACAACTTGCTGAAGAAACATCAGCTGCTGGAAGCGGACATATCTGCCCATGAGGTGATCAGACGGGGGTGGGCAGGCCCGGCCGGGACCCAGCTGTGCTTGACTCTTTAGGAGAACTGGCGCACGTCGGGGAGGAGCAGGGTGTTCGGCTAATAGACCCTCAAGCCACGTTCTCAAATATTGTGGCCTCGGGGCCATTTTATACCCTGCACTATTATCGAAGGCCACTGAGGGAGTTTGCTTATGTGGGTTTTGTCTCTACCGTTATTAAAAAATGACATTTTAAAAGTTAAATTTTAAAAAGACAGCATCAAGGGCTTTTTGTCATTCTGAAAATGACAAAATTCTAGAGATGGAGAATAGAGCAGTAGTTGCCAGGAGTTAGACACAGGGATGGGGTGCAGTGAGGAAGGGACAGGCGAGTCCTTGTGCTCACGGAACAACGTATCTTGGTTTGGGTTACGTGAAGCTACATGGAGGGGATAATTGTGCGGAATGACGTACACACACCCACGCAGACACGGATGGATGCACGTAAAGTTGGTGAAATCTGTGGTTTTGCACCAGTGTCCGTGGCCTGGTCTTGCTGGTGTGCCGTGGAACCTGCTGCTCTGGGCGGGGAGCTGGAGAAAGGGCCCACAGGAGCTGTGCTGTTTTTTGTTTCTGAAGCTGTGCTAGTTTTCCGACTCCTTGTGAGTCCATAATTATTTCAGAATGAAAAGTTAAGAGTAAATCTGAGAAACAAATTATTACTGAAAGTAATAATAAGCCCATCACAAGTTAACATGAGTAGCACTTCCTATGAACAAAAACTGTTTATCCACAACCAGAACATGGTAGAGTAAGAAGAGGGGCCTTGGCTGTATTTTGCAAATCCCTTCAGTCCGGTTTAATAGAAAACAGCTGGATTCTCGTAGAAGCTTCTGAATTCAGTCTGTGTGAGTGTGTCAGATACGATGGAAACCCAGCCTCCCGCAGGGAGTTGGAAGAAGTGAGCAGTGTGTTCATTCAGATGATTGTGGATACTCTGACACCAGTCAGTACGTGCTAGTCGCTTAAAGGTGAGCTGCAAAGTGGACTCTGAAACCCTATCGGTCAGTTTTTCATACCATTTAATATTAAAATCCCCTGGTCCATCTCAGACACGGAATGTTTTTTTTTTTTTTTACTCGTGCATGATGTCACAAAATCATTTGGAAAACGTTGTTGAGTTAGGCAGAATCGCCTCTGGTTCCATGCGCTGACGTCACAGCCAGTCTCGAAAGGAAAATCTTCACAAATCGAGTGGCTCTCATGCTCATGGAGGTTGAACGCACTTCTTCCAGAATTCTCATTTTCGCCTGAAAGTTCAGGTTTTATCAGTAGCAGCAAACTCTGCCTTCTTGAAAGTGACAGGTTGACCTCATTCATTCGGAGCAGGTGTCTGTCAGACACCGAAGTCTGCACGGCCGTAGTCTGTCTGGTCATTGTTCTCTCAGAAGGATAGCCCATGAATAAGGGGCTAGTTCAGCTCAGGACACCGGCTTCTCCTCAGGGCAGTCCTCGACCTGGAGTATGCCACAGAAGTGCTTGTGTGCGTTTCCCATTTTGTCATACAGAATATTGACGTCGACATGTATTCTAAGATGGAGATTTGATAAAATCAACGATTTCTGCTTTTATAAGAATGTCCTTAAGTGAGAGCACGTTTTTACCGCAGCTCGGAGTCCTGCTGGCTCGGTGTGTCACTCTCTTGAGTGGAGACATCGGCTGTCGTGCCACGTGCAAGAGTCCACACGGTGAAAAAGGCCCATGATGTCTTTGTGTCATCACGAAAATAATTTTGATCTCTTAGAACCCCAGGGATCCACATAGGATACCTTGAGAGAGCATCAGCACTCCACAAAGCCAACCTGCTGGTGAAGAATTCCAGAGTTCTGATTTTCAAGCAGATACTCATGGGAAACCCAGGTTTCTCACCCCTCCCATTGTATCCCCTGCCCCAGGATCGCCTGAAGGACCTGAACAGCCAAGCAGACAGCCTGATGACCAGCAGTGCCTTCGACACCTCCCAAGTGAAGGATAAACGGGACACCATCAACAGTCGTTTCCAGAAGATCAAGAGCATGGCAGCCTCCCGGCGAGCCAAGCTGAATGAATCACATCGCCTACACCAGTTCTTCCGGGACATGGATGATGAGGAGTCCTGGATCAAGTACGTGTCCTCAGGGCTTCACAGTCTGGGTCCTCCAGGATGCCCATTGAGCAGGCACTGGGAGCCCCAGGCTGAGTGGGGGTCCGGAGCTCCGGGCCGCCTGGCCGTGAGGTTTGGCTCTCTCCCAGAGTGTGCCAGAACCTGGCCCATGGGATACCTTGGCTTCTTCTGATGCCCAGGTGTGCAGTTATAGGGCCATCGATGGTCTCCAGATGGTAGCAGTACGTGATGATTGAGCTAGACTTTGTGTAGACCCTGCCCTGGGATCCCCGGGGAGATTAGCAAATGCCCTTCTGGAAAAGACAGCCCGATATCCTCCTGGGCAGGATCAGTCCTTGAAGGAAGGAGAGTTGTTTGTTTTTAATTCCTCCCCCATTGCAGTCAAAGGTGATAGAGCATTTTGTAAACACACCATTTTTAAAGGACAAAAATCCTGTCTTCTATTCCTCACTTCCTTTTTTTTTTTTAAGATTTTATTATTTGACAGGGAGAGACAGAGAGGGAACACAAGCAGGGGGAGTGGGAGAGGGAGAAGCAGGCCTCGCGCCGAGCAGGGAGCCCGATGCGGGGCTCGATCCCAGGACCCTGGGACCATGGCCTGAGCCGACGGCAGACTCTTAACAACTGAGCCACCCAGGCGCCGCTATTCCTCACTTCCTTAAAAAATTCTGTGCATATCTTTATATATTTGTACGGGTGGTGTCTGCACATTTGGTAAAGTAGGGTTGGTAGGAGGACACCCCTAGCCACCTCCTTGTTCTCCGCACACCCTGAGCCTGGTAGGTGCTTCTGGATACCTACATCGATGCTCTTTGTTTCGGAAATAGAGGCTTTTTGTTTCCAGAAGACTGGCAAGGATTTTCGTGGCGAGATTGGTAGGTGTAGGTGAAGGACATCATGGGGTCTGGAGACCTCACAGCTCCTGAGCAAACCTGTCTGGTTGGAAGCACGGGGGTGCAGAGTACCTACCTGTGTTGTCCAGGGAGAAGAAGCTGCTGGTGAGCTCTGAGGACTACGGCCGAGACTTAACAGGCGTTCAGAACCTGAGGAAGAAGCACAAGCGGCTGGAGGCGGAACTGGCTGCCCATGAGCCAGCGATTCAGGTGAGGGGGCCGCTTGCGGCCGAGGGGGCGGCGGGGACTGATGGGCCCATGTGACGTACAGAGAAGCCCTTTGCTCTTGTTCATCCCACTGAGGTCTGCAGTGTCTATGACCCCTTGTTCCAAACCTGGAAGAAAGAGGTGCTGGCCTCGGTGCCGACGCCTTTTTCTGGCCGCATCTAGGAGCAGGTGATCGGGGTTATTCTAATCGTTCTTGCCTGTCAGGGTGTCCTAGACACTGGGAAGAAGCTGTCTGATGACAACACCATTGGCAAGGAGGAGATTCAGCAGCGTCTGGCCCAGTTCGTGGAGCACTGGAAGGAGCTGAAGCATCTGGCCGCGGCGCGGTGAGCGGTGGGGACGGTGCGTGTGCGGGCAGGCCCCGTGCCGCCTCCTGGGCCCTCGACCGGGGCGAGCCCGGTCCACGGTCGGCTTGTTCCAGAGCCGCTCCGACCAGCCCGTGCCGAGCCCGTCCGCTTACGGGGATCTGAACCCAGCACATGGTTCCAGAATTTCATGAGTGAACAACACTGTGTCTGCTTCGTGTTACACAGAGCGCTCCATGGAACCAGTCACGTCCCACGTTCGTCAGGAACATTTTTAAACATGTGTTCGCTATCAGAATTGAAATTGGAAGACACTAATGGCTGGTGTTTGGTGTGTCCTGTAACTAGGGGTCAGCGGCTGGAGGAGTCCTTGGAGTATCAGCAGTTTGTAGCCAACGTGGAAGAGGAAGAAGCCTGGATCAACGAGAAGATGACCCTGGTAGCCAGTGAGGATTACGGAGACACGCTTGCCGCTATCCAGGTCCGAGAAGCTGGCTTTGGTCGCGCTGTTCGCGTTGTTCTCCCGGCCGGCAGCCTCGGTGTCCCTGGCTGGTCGCAGGCCTCCAGCCTGCACACCGGAGACGGCGGCCCCGGTACCACGGGTCCCTGAGGTCCGCGGGGGTCCAGGGCCTGCCGCCACGGCGCACCCTCAGCGTTATTGTCCTGTCGTTCTGGAGGCCGGAGGTCTGAAGTCAAGGTGCAGACAGGGCCTCGCTCTCCGAAACTTCTAGGGGAGGCTCCTGTCCTCCAGCTTCTTGCTGGTATTCCCAGGCTTGTGGCAGCATAACCCGCAGCCTCCGCTCTTCACGCCTCTTCCCTCCGCGTCCGGGTGCCTGCAGCTTTCCCTCCGAGCCGCCTGTGTCCCGAGTTCCCTCTCAGAAGGACACAGGCCTCCCGGAGTAGGTCCCACCCCAGTGACCTCATCTGAGCGTCTTCACTTGATTATCTCTGCATCTCCCACGTTCGTAGGTGCCAGGGGTTAGGACGTCATTCTTTTGGGGGGGACACACCTCAGCCTCTGCCCTTAATACACTGTGTGACCGCCCGAGAGAGCCACGATGATGTCGCTGGCGGCTGGCACAGCTCCGTCCATTCCCCCCCCGCCCCGCCTCCGTCCCTCAGTGGCCCTGCCCGTTTTCATAGGCAGCATTCAAAATGGCAGAGGCAGAAGCTTCAAGGCCTAGCCTCAGATGTCACGTGACCTCGTCCGTGCTGTGTTCTGTCGGTCGGAGTGGTCACAAGCAGCCCAGAGCTACGAGCTAGTTGAACCGCCTCCCCTCTTGCTGGGAGGAGCCACACTTTATGGTCAAATGTTCCCAGATCTGGGCCACCGGCCGTGGAGGCAGAGTTTCCATTCCCCAGAGTCTGGGTAGTCCCTGCGCCACGTTCTCAGAGTGGGTGTCCTGTTCGGCTGGTCCGGTGCTTCAGGTGGCTTAGATGGAGGGAGGGATTTCCCATCCTCTGCGCGGACCCGTTCCCGGGAAGGCCACTCAGAGCCATTGTCTCTGGTCCTTGAGGTATACTGGGGACAGGGACACTTGGAAGGTCCCTTAGGAGCGGAACTTGGGGAAACCCTCTGTTGGGCTCTGTCTTAAGCTTGCACGGGGTTTATCGTTTTCTGTGTGGTCCTCCAGAGGGGAAGAGGGACACTGTGCTGATTGATTAGCAAGAGCTTACCGCCTTCAGGAAAGGCCTACCCGGGCGTCCCTTCTCAAGCTCGGCATCTGCCAGTTGTTCTTGCTGCATCTGGGTTTTACCACGTTTATAATTACCTGTCGATGTTGGTCCCTGTGGCCTCAGCCCCCAACTAGACTGGGCCGCCTGTGAGGGCGGGCGCCTTACAGCTTTGGTTCCCTCCGACCTGAGACTGGGCCCGCCCCCCGGCGCATGCCAGGCTCTCAGCCGCTGGGCCTTCTGCTCCCGCTGCAGGGCTTACTGAAGAAACATGAAGCTTTTGAGACAGACTTCACGGTACACAAGGACCGGGTGAATGACGTCTGCAGCAATGGACAGGACCTCATCAAGAAGGTGAGCCTGGCCTGCTGGTGAGACGCTCACTTCCCACACCCGACGCCCCCATGCTCGGGCCACCGTGGCCCCACAAAGCCCATCTGCCTGGAATATTCACCCACGAAAGCTTTGCACGGAGACCGGGAAGTGGAAGCAGACTTCCACTGCTGTGTTTCATAACAAGAGAAAGATTCTGTGATTGGTTGGACGTCTTCCCCCTTCCTGAAGCCAGTTAGTGAGGTCACTGCAGCACGTACGCTTTCTGCGTGGATCAGGCAGAGAGGCATCCAGCGACACTGGTGCTCCCACAGAGCTCTTCTCTTAGGTTATTTCTCAGGTGGTACAAGCTCGTGATAGAAGTGGTTGGAAATACAAGAAAAGTCCTAAGAGCCGCCCCTACGTAGGATAGATCCCATTCCATCGACTTATGTCTCTCTACAAAGCCTGGCAGGTTTAGAGATGAATGTGTTAAAATCACAAAGTTTGGGTTTCGCTCAAACAGCCCCTGAGCAAGAGCGCAGACAGGAGGGGTCCTGGGGCTTTCTCCCCAGCAGTGAAGTCCAGTCACCGGCGTGTTGGCATTCCAGACTGAACATGGTGCTGCCATTGGTCCTCAGTTAGTCACCGCCGATCACATAGGTGTGGTGACAGGTATTCAGTACCACAAGAAAAGCAGCTTTTTAAAAGATTTTATTTATTTGACACGGAGAGAGCAGGAGTGGTGGGGAGGGGCAGAGGGAGAGGGAGAAGCAGACTCCCCACTGAGCATCGATCCCAGGACCCTGGGATCGTTACCTGAGCCGAAGGCAGACGGTTAACTGACTGAGCCACCCAGGTGTCCCCAAGACAAGCAACTTTTTTTTTTTTTTTTAAGGTTTTATTTATTTATTTGACAGCACAAGCAGGGGGAGTGGGAGAGGGAGAAGCAGTCTCCCCGCTGAGCAGGGAGCCCGATGCGGGGCTCTATCCCAGGACCCTGGGATCATGACCTGAGCTGAAGGCAGACACTTAACGACTGAGCCACCCAGGCGCCCCAACAAGCAATTTTTCACAGTGATAATTTCCTGTTGGAAATATAACTAGTAGATAAGATTTCTCATCGTGGGATTTGCTCTAGTAAGCATGGCCTTGAGACTAGAGATTTGGTTCATAGGAGTTAACAAGTATGTTCAAATCCGTGTTCACTAGAGAGCTTTTTTTCCCCTTGCCCTCATGGGCAAATAAACTAACATCCAGCTGATTTCCGGTCCAGACCGTGTACCGGCAGAGATGAGGCCTGTGTCCGATCGTCACCCACATGCAGCCCTGCGTCACGGTCTCTGCTCTTTCTACCTCTGCGGTGACTGGTCTGAGTATTCTGCAGCTTTCCAACAAAGCCTGGTGCTTTACCGTCAGCAACAGTCTGTTCCTCCTCGAGTTTCTCTCTCAATTTCATGCTGCCTTGTGTGTTTTCAAATTCAGTTATTCCAAGACCGAATCCGAGTGTCTGGGGCTTAAGAATTTTCAGTGTCCGCTTTCTGACCCATTGTGTTTATTGCTTATATTAGGAGCCAGTGTTTGTATATATCACATTTTGTTTAAGTCTTAACTAACGAGTACATCATTGTGATGTTTCAGCTCATTCCTCCTATCTTCAGGATTCATTCCTATCCGTGAAATTGCCAGCATTCATCCTTTCAAGGCTTTTAATCGTGTTGCCGTTAGGAAGGCCCTACCTGTGCTTCCGCCCAGCGGCGGGTGGTGGGCCGGGGGCGCAGGGTCCGCCTTCCAGCGCTGGTGCGCCTTCCCCGGCAGGGAGGCCATGGATCATCTAGCCACGGCAGGAGGTGAGGCTGACCAGACTATGCTTTCTCTTTGTGGCCTAGAACAATCACCATGAGGAGAACATCTCTTCCAAGATGAAGGGCTTGAATGGGAAGGTGTCAGACTTGGAGAAAGCTGCCGCCCAGAGGAAGGCCAAGCTTGAGGAGAACTCGGCCTTCCTTCAGTTCAACTGGAAGGCTGACGTGGTCGAGTCCTGGATCGGTGAGCGCTGTCCCGCCCGGCCCGGCCCCAGTCTCTTCTCCTCCCCAGGCCACGAAGATTGTTCCAGAGCCGTAGCTCGTTTATTACCTAAGCAGTTGGTCTTCTCCAGAGAAGAAACGGATCTAATGTGGGCATTTCAGAGAACGAGAAACCATGTCCTGCGGCCAAGAGTGGGGGCCCCCATGGTGCCCGGCACTGGGCCAGCACCAGGGTTAACAAAGCAAAAATCTTTAAACCCCGGAAGAAGCAGTCAGCATCACGAGCTGTCTGCTGGCTGCCCGGGGCGCGGTCTGGCTCCCGAGCGGGGGGGAGCTACACTCTGATTTTGGGACCCCTCTGGCCCTGGTGATTGCTGTCACGTGTATGGCAGTTGAACCACAGCTGGGATGAGCTGGAAGGATCTCTTCCTGTCACAGCTAGCCAAGGGGGCCCGGGCTGCAGGGAGGAAAGAGTAGCCCGCATGGGGTCAAAGCCTGCTGGTAGAGTCTGGGATGTAAACGTCAGCAGGGTGATAGGCTGCCCGGGAGGCCCTCTTGAATACTGAGGTCAGAGGGGACTCTTAATTCCCTTCACTGTACCAAGAAGGCTGGCCTGTTTCCCATGCTTGGTTTCCTAGGTGAAAAGGAGAACAGCCTGAAGACAGATGATTATGGCCGAGACCTGTCTTCCGTGCAGACTCTCCTTACCAAACAGGTCAGGCGCGGCCCCTTTGTTGACTGAAATGTATGCAGATAGTACGTCCTGGTACATGAATGGTGGTCGGCGTCTGTCCCTGAGAAAGGCCCTAAGGACTCGGCAGTGAGCAAGGTCGTTCTGGTCCTCGAGGAGCTTCCAGACGAGGCATCTGGGCTACAGGCTGACGGCACCCCCAGGGTGGAGCGCAGCAGAATGTGTTGTGGATTTAACCCCCAAGAGCTGTCTGACTCGGTTTCCAGCAAGCAGGGGCTGATGTGGGAAGTCTTCCCAGAGGAGGGGCATCTAAGCTGGGGCACGAAGGGCAAACTGCAGGTGGTCGGGGGGGAGGCAGGCGTTCGTCCCGGGCAGAGGTAGTGGGGAGAGTGGGGCACATTTAGGGGACCCCCCCGTACCTCAGTCTGCCCGGGGTGGGCAGGAGGATGTCAGGAGAAGGTGGGGACTCGGGACTGACAGTGTGGCCTGGGCAGCTGGCTGAACAGACCCTGGTGCCATCGAGCTGAGGCACCCCGAAAGGGTGGCTTCTAGCCTCCCCGGCGACCCTGCAGATTGGCGCACCGCTCTTTGTTCCAGGAAACCTTTGACGCTGGCCTGCAGGCCTTCCAGCAAGAGGGCATCGCCAACATCACCGCCCTCAAAGATCAGCTGCTGGCCGCCAAGCACGTTCAGTCAAAGGCCATTGAGGCCCGGCATGCCTCCCTCATGAAGCGATGGAGCCAGCTTCTGGCCAACTCGGCCACCCGCAAGAAGAAGCTGCTGGAGGCCCAGAGTCACTTCCGCAAGGTGAGGCTGGGCCCCTGCGCAGCTCCCCGGCCCGGCTGCGGGGAGTCTGCCGGAAGCCAGCCACGGGCCCTTGGGCAACCAAGCGGCCAGGACAGACTGGGGGGAAAGGGTAACGAGGGAAGAAAGTCAGAGGCCTTTCGAGACATGGAAGTGGGAGCACCCCGGCTTGCCCCGGCCGCCCCGGGAACGACCGCTGCCTTTCCTATCCTGCCTCGTGGCCCTGACGGCGCCCTGATGACGCCCTGACGCAGGCTGCTCCGCTTTCAGGTGGAAGACCTCTTCCTGACGTTCGCCAAAAAGGCCTCTGCCTTCAACAGCTGGTTCGAAAACGCCGAAGAGGATCTGACCGATCCCGTGCGTTGCAACTCCCTGGAGGAGATCAGAGCTTTGCGCGAGGCCCACGATGCCTTCCGCTCGTCCCTCAGCTCTGCCCAGGCCGACTTCAGCCAGCTGGCCGAGCTGGACCGCCAGATCAAGAGCTTCCGGGTGGCCTCCAACCCCTACACCTGGTTCACCATGGAGGCCCTGGAGGAGACGTGGAGGAACCTGCAGAAGATCATCAAGGTGCGCGCCGCCCCAACCCAGGGCCATCATCCGGGGCTCAGGGGCCAGGGGGCTTGGATGGGGTGGCGGCCAGCAGCCCACAGCAGGCTGTCGGTCAGCCGCTTCCCCTCGCCTCTTGCCAGAGTTCTTGGGGGGCCAGTTGTGAGCAGCCGGGGAACAGGGTTCTGAGCTCCCCGAGTGTCTCCCAGGCTCCTCCTTTGGGTTGATGTCAACATCTGGTTCTCCCTGCCTCGCAAAGCGATGGTTTCTGGTCATGTTCAGCATCCAGAAACTGAAACTGTAGGGCGTCTAGTCCGCCCCGAGGGCAGGCCGGCAGGGAGGACGGGCCCGCTGACGGCCTCTCCTCCCTCTGGGCGCTAGGAACGGGAGCTGGAGCTGCAGAAGGAGCAGCGCCGGCAGGAGGAGAACGACAAGCTGCGCCAGGAGTTCGCCCAGCATGCCAACGCGTTCCACCAGTGGATCCAGGAGACCAGGTGTCCGCCCGCACCCCCCGGCGCCTCCGGGCCCCCGGCTCTAGCGGGAGGGGAGCTCTGCGGGAAACTGGAAGTCACGCTCGCAGGAAGGAAAGAAGGGTTAGGGGCCCACCCTGGTCTGGCTCGAGCTAGGGCGGGTGGGGGGTGGGGGGGCAGTTCTCGAAGGTACTTTTCCTGAAGGTCAAGTTGCTAGGTGTGCCGCATCGGGTGGGACCGTGCGCGGCCGGTGGTCAGTCCTAGGCAGCGCCTCGGTGATACACGGAACAGAGTCGAATGCAACGGTACTGATGTTCTCGGTTTTGTCTTTTCTTTCTTGTGTCTCTCTCTGTCCCCCACCTCCCGACTGCTGCTGTCTGGATGCCACCTTGTCTTGCGGCTGCTTGGATCCCATCTGCACAGAACGTATCTCCTCGATGGGTTAATATTGTCTTCTTGTTCCTCCGGGCTCGTGGTGTGGTGGTGTCTCGTGTGCTTGTCCCCCTGCCCTCTGTCCCCCTGTGGCCTGGCTTGCAGAGGATCCCAGGATGGGCCTTCCTGCCCCAGGCGGGCTGCACTTCCCCCGGCCCACCCTCACCCCAGCTCCGTCCCCATCACCCTACAAGGAGTGCGTGTCCTTGACAGCCCTTGACAGCCTGAGGTCTGGGGAGGGGAGCCCCTCCCACCTTCCTGTTCAGATTCCAAGGGTTCTCTCAGGTAGGGGATGTGACCAAGGCAGAGGACCAGAGCTAGAGTCCAGAGCCTCTGAGAAACCCCATGCCGTCCAGCCATTGGGATTCGCTGGATCTCTCTTCTGCCTCTTTTCCCCGTGTGTCCAGTGGGACCATCCTTAGCTCCTAGGAGGTCATGGTCATGGAGAGGAGATTCAGCGGGTGCAGTGAGTTCCCAGCTGTGCACTGACACCCCCCCCAGGCGCACCCCTCCCCCCGTGTTCCCAGGGGAAGGGGAAGAGCATCGTTTGCACTAATAGAAGGCAGAAGTGCCCGCAGTTTAGAGCGATGGAGAGACGAGGCTGGGAGGGAGCCCCCCGGGAGGAGCAGGGCGGCCCTGCCCAGTCCAGTCCTGGGAGCGGCCCCTCCTCGAGGCTTTGGCCTTTCCCAGGCCCGTGTAAAGCCGGGGGCGGGGGGGAACCTCAGTGGCTGAGACTAGCGCTCCTGGGGTCCCGCAGACGGGTAGTTGGGACAGCTGAGCGTGGTACCAGGAGAAACAGGCGCACGCTGACGTGACCACCTGTGCTGAAAGCAGCCTGGCGGGGGCGGGGGGGTAGGATTTAGGGATCACAGTTTCTAGCTGGAGTTCATTAGCCAGCTGGCCTCCACTCCCCTCCCCAGCCCTGTGGCTGTGTCTGCCGATCTGGTCTTGTCGCCGTGGGTGCCATGCTCCCTCCCGGGTGGCTCCTCCCTAGCCCTGTCCCGTCTTGCTTGGCCCCAGTGTGCGCTGCCCCGGGGCCGCTGTGCTCCCTGCGGCCGGCGGCCCAGCCCCACCAGGTCCCTGCCTGGGCGCCAGGTGGCCCCGCCTGTGCACCACCAGCTTGGGCCTTGGGGCGCGTGTCTGTCTCGGTCTGCTCTTGCCTGCCCGTGCCTTCCGTGTATTCATTTGGTTTCTTTTCTTTGACTAGCATAGCGTATCGTCGGGTCATTCGTGTCTATCAGTATGAAGTTGGGGATGATCTGTCTGGAAGGTTTTTCTCCTCTTATTTCTCTTCTTCCCTCACTGTGGTTTTACCAATGCACTCTTGACTTCCCCAGGCGGCTCCGCTTTCTGACTAACCCACCGCCCTCGGCCGCTTGGGAAGGAGGGCTCTGTCCTCCTCCCACTGCACTGGCACCCAGCCTCCTGCCCCCGGGTCTGGGGGAGGGGGTTGCTTTTCCCTGGGGGACATGGCGTGACTGTGAGTCTGATCTGCTGGGTTACAAGGAAGCCTGGTGCCTGGCCTTGCTCAAGCACTTTGAACTTGGGGAAACGTCAGAGCTAACCCTGGCTCGCTGGGTGCTGAAAGGGTAGGTTGGAGCACCCGTGGGTGCAGGGGAGGCCGGGCTAAAATCCCACCAAGGACACGCGCACAGTGTGACTCATCCCTGCACGTAACCCCGACTCGTTTGTTGTCTTCGTTCACTGGTGGCCTTCTGTGACCTCACACTGTGTAACGTCGGGAAGATGGAGGCTCCCCTGGGGCACCCCTGCTCTTCGGAACTTGGCCCTGGGAGCCCCTGGCCCGGAGGGTCTCGTGGAGCCTGAATCTGGGGCTTAATTGCAGCCACCTCCCTCCTTTAGGCAGAATTAGAATCACTTTTAAAACCCAGTCTGGTCATGATCTCTTAGCATCCTGGCTCCGTGTCTGAGGGGTCATCTGACTGCGTCTCCTCCACAGCCGTCACACCCTAGAATGTGGCTCCCCTCCTCAGGAACGTGCAGGAGACCCCAGGGATTTCTGGGGGGTGGCTCTCCCTCTGTCAGCCTTTCTCCCCAGTGGCTGCAGCGGGGCGTGCTGTTGGGCCCGAGGCCCCTCTGTCATGCCGTGGAGCAGCTTCCACTCTGTTCCTCAGGTGCCCTTGAGGGCCTCGCTTGAGTGAGGGGCCAGGTCCCAGCCTGGCTGGGCCGGAGGAGCCCCATGAGAGAGGCTCCTGGCCTGGGAGCAGGCTGGGTGGGGCTCGGCCCAGGCCCCCCAGTTGGCCCGGGGCAGGTAGCCCACCACGTGGGGCGGCGGCGTCCTGTCTCCACGGCAGGACAAAGACTGCCCGCCCTCCCGGCTCCCGGGGCCACTTAGGAAAAGCCAGCCAGTAGCAGATAGCGGCCATTTCCTCGATGAGAGAGATTCAGAAACAGAATTCCAAGACAGCAGGCACTGTTACCTGGGGCTAATTTTGAGCTCACGATCAGGCCCTCCTGCCTCACTGTGCTTCTGTGTTTAGGTCCTGCATGGTGGAAGAATCTGGGACCTTGGAATCCCAGCTCGAAGCTACCAAAGTAAGCGCCCCCTTGGTTTAAAGTCAGGCAGGAAGTAGGCTGGGTCGGTGCTCTTTTTCACTTTGCATAAAGCAGCACAGGACCCCATCATTTTAAAGAAAGTCTTTTGTCTCTGACAGTTGCCACGTGGAGTCTTACTTGAAAAGAAAGAGGGTCCTTTGGTCCTTAGTGTATAGTCTTCCTGGCAGTCTGCCCCCGGCTCGCCCCTCCCGCCGTCCTGCGCAGCCCCGCAGGCCTCGGGCCGGGAGGGCTCTCAAACGGGCGCTCGGGGCCGGTGACCGAGGTGAGAGACTGTCCCCTACACCCTCGCTCCCCCGCCCGTAGCGCAAGCACCAGGAGATTCGAGCCATGAGAAGTCAGCTCAAGAAGATTGAGGACCTGGGGGCGGCCATGGAGGAGGCCCTGATCCTGGACAACAAGTACACAGAGCACAGCACCGTGGGCCTGGCCCAGCAGTGGGACCAGCTCGACCAGCTGGGCATGCGCATGCAGCACAACCTGGAGCAGCAGATCCAGGCCAGGTCCGTGCCCCCGGCATGGCAGCCCCTGCCCCTGTGCCCCCCAGCGTCCCGCACTCACTCTACTGGGATGGAACAGTGTGCCACCTGCTCACTCCATCCTGTTCTTTTAGGAACACAACCGGAGTGACTGAGGAGGCCCTCAAGGAATTCAGCATGATGTTTAAGTGAGTATGGCCTCCCCGGGCACAGGGGCGGCGGGCTCGGCGCCGGGACCCGTGCTGAGCAGCTCTCCGTTTGTGCGGCAGACACTTCGACAAGGACAAGTCGGGCCGGCTGAACCACCAGGAGTTCAAGTCCTGCCTGCGCTCCCTGGGTTATGACCTGCCCATGGTGGAGGAAGGGGAGCCCGACCCCGAGTTCGAGGCAATCCTAGACACCGTGGATCCAAACAGGTGAGCTGGAGGGAGGGTAGTGGGGGCGGCTCTGCCTCCGCATCCTGCCGCATCCTCCCGGCTCACCGCGCCTGCCCCTCTCCAGGGATGGCCACGTCTCCCTGCAAGAGTACATGGCCTTCATGATCAGCCGTGAAACGGAGAACGTCAAATCCAGCGAGGAGATCGAGAGCGCCTTCCGGGCCCTGAGCTCCGAGGGAAAGCCCTACGTGACCAAGGAGGAGCTGTACCAGGTCCGGGGCTCTGCTTCCCTGCCCTGGGGATGGGGCTGCAGGTTTCCTTTGGAAAGTAAAGGCCGAGGTCGCCCAGGGGCACAACGGTCTAGCGTGACAGACCTCCGTTTGGAGCGCTCGGTTGGGGGCAGGCGTTTCCTCCCCATTCAGCGCTGACTCCCTGTCCACGGCCCCTCGGAGAACGTCCCGCTCTCCCTGAGGCTGGGGCCCAGGCGTTCCTGCTGTGCCCCCCGACCCCGGGGCCAGCGGGGCTGGGCTGACAGGCGGCCTCTTCCCTCCAGAACCTGACTCGGGAACAAGCCGACTACTGCGTCTCCCACATGAAGCCCTACGTGGACAGCAAGGGCCGCGAACTCCCCACCGCCTTCGACTACGTGGAGTTCACCCGCTCGCTCTTCGTGAACTGATCCCGCCCCCCGCCTCGCCTGGACCGCGCTGCTTGCCCTGCCGTCGCCTTGCTGCATGTCACCTCCTCTCCGTGCCCACGTATTCGTGTCACTCTTCACCGTAAGCTTATGTCCACTTAGCTTGGGGATAAGACTTAGTAGAAAGGATGCTTCACTAAGCCGCTCCCGGTCCAGTGACACTTGCCCTGTTGCTGTGGGGACCCGGATTCCTGTTGTGAAGCCAGCGGCCCCATTCCGGCTCGAGAAATCGCAGCAGCTGGCTGGCTCCTTTCCTGTTCGCCCCGCTCCATTGTTTTCACGTAAAAGACAAATAAATGACACTCTCCCAGACGCTTGTGTTGTCTTCATTCAGCTTCCACGAGACATCCACAGCTTGGCACAGGTGTGGCCTCACCCCACCTGCCCCCCGATCTGGGGACACTCCGCCCCCACCCACAGGGCCCTGCTGTCGCTTCACTGTCCTCAGGTGGCCACCTCGGCTGCCAGCCGTGCCAAGTCCTCGGACTCCCGGGGTCCTTGTTCCGTGAACTCAGTGCTCAGCTGCCACACCTTTACTGTGCCCTCGGCGTCACCAGCAGCCAGGAGCTGAGTCTGCTGCCGATTAAATTCCAGACAGTAGACCGGGCTTGCATCCTGGGTTTGCTTGATTGAAACCGTGGGTTTCTGGGAGCTTTTCTGGAGATCAAACAGCTGCACATCACCTGCAGGGGGAGAGACTCATGGGGGCGAGAGCCTGGACAGCACAAAACAAAGCCACTGCCCGGCGCAGCAATCCTCCCCCCACGTGCTGTCTCTCCCCAGCTCAGAATTCCAGATCCGCTGCGCCCGTGCGGCGTAAGTGAATGTGAGTCTGGTGTCTTCTTTCCTACCTTCCCCCGAAGCAGCTGCAAACACCAAAGGGCGCACTGGGGACCAGCGCACAGCAAACAGGTACTTGTGGGACAGCTGCAGCGAGGCCAGGGGCTGGGCCTGCAACGTGGAGTACAGGTGGATGTGGCCGTCGGTCCCCGCGCTCAGGAAGAGATTCCTAGACAGGATGCAGGGGAGGAGTGCTGGGTGTCCCGGTCCACTGGGCTTCCTGGACCCCCCGCCCCCCAAACCAGGGATCCCCTTAGGGAGCGAGGGGCCGACGCCCTGGACCCAACCACCAGCGCTCTGGGCACAAGGGCTCCCGTGGGGGAAGACCTGGGCCCGGGACAGACTGCAGGCCCTTCCCGCGGTTCTGTGGGACCCCCTCGCCCTCCCTGTGCCGGGGCGCTGGGGCCTTCTCTACCTGTGGAAGGGGGAACAGCTCACGGAGTAGATGGGGCCACCGTGGGGGGAGAAGGTCAGCTGTGCCGGGGCCCGCAGGGGCACAGAGCTAGGCGTCCGGGTGAGGGCGGCCTCTTCCGCGGCCAGCGAGCACTGGAGTGGGAAGCCGCCTTCCGTGCCCAGAACAAAAAGGCTGGGGTCAAAGCTGGAGAAGGCCACCGCCGTGGCACCCACCTCGGTCTCTCCCCGGGGAGGCTGTGGAGAAATGAGCGGCGGGGCAGAGCCGAGGGAATCTGGTCCCACAGTGTCCCAAAGGAGCCCGGTCCCTCAAGTGGGCGCCGTGGCCCAAGGAGGTCAAGCGGCCCATGCCGCCTGCCCCCCCCCACACACCCGGGGCTCCTCTCGGAGGCCCTACGGGGGCCCCACGTACCTTCTTCAGCCTGGTGTGCCTCGGGAGCTGCTGCACGGCCAGGGCGAAGCCCTCGGTCAGCTGCAGCCGGCCCGCGCCGACGCCCTGCCAGAGCAGCACCCTCCCGTCCGTGGCCACGCTCAGCACCTGGAAGCGGTGGCCGTGCCGGGGCTCGGGCCGCCAAAGCACCTGGGGCACCGGGATGCGGGACTGAGGTCAGGGAAGCACTGCTCGCCCCCCAGCCTGCCCCCACCTCCCAGCAAGACCAACGGTCACCCTCCTGTCCCCCCCCTTCTAGGAAAACAAGAGGGAGAATTCTGGGGGCGGCCCAGAGCCACCTCACACACCAGTGGGCAGTGCCAAGGGTTCTGAGCTCCGTCCCTGAGCCCGGGCAGGCCGGGACAGCTGGGAGCCTGTTGTGGCAGCTTGGGGGGTGGGGGAGCAGCTGGGGGTGGCTCCTGTCAGGGGCGGGAGGTGACTCATGCCCTGGGAGCTCTGAGAACGCTGAAGGCAGCTGTCCCAACTGCCAACTCCCTGGTGACCACCTGCCAAGCTAGGCCGAGTGGGCGCCCTCTCTCCTGCTTGGCCTCCAGCAGCAGGCCTGTGACAGCCCAGCCCAGCTCAGGCAGAAGGGGACGGTGACTCCCCGACCCAACCGGCAGCCCACCGCTCTGACCTGGTACACGGGGTCTGTGTGTGTGTCGTCAGTCAGGCCCGTTCGCCAGAGCAGCGGGTCCTCGGGATGGCTAATGTCCCACACGAGCACCTCGCCGCTGAACAGCCCACCTGCGGGACCAAGCGGGCCCGGGCAGAAGCCGACTCACCCAGCACCCAGGCTTCCCGGCCAAGTACCAGCCCTTCGCCCCCACGGAGCCAGGATGTGGAGCCACTTCCCCAAAACCACCTTGAGGAGGAAGAGTCCTGGCCCGCTGCACACCCTCCACAGCCCGGGAAGCTTCTCCCGCTGCCAGGCTGATCTCCGCAGCCCGGCACCCTGCCATTCCCCCCAGCGCAACCCCCTTTCCCAACACATGGGGCTCCTATCACCGCTGACATCTCCCCAAGGGTGCCCACGTCACCCTCCTCTGGTCCTGACCAGGCCGTGCCCTTCCACGGCCCACACCTGGACAAGACTCAGCGAGGACCCGCTTCCTCTTCCTCCAAGCTCCGTACCGGGCATCCTTGGCATCCTCACTGCCCCCTCGGCATCCTCACCTGAGCCCAGGGGTCAGGGCCGCCCAGTCTCTGCTCCCTCGCAGCAGACCTGCCCTGGCTGTGCCCCGGGGGGTTGAGGGTCCAGTGCAGAGCTCAGCTCGGGCCGCCCTCTGCAGGGGAGGGGTGCGGGGCGGGAGCAGACGCGAGGCAGGCTGAAGACTCACCTGCAACGTGGGACGGCTGCGTGGGGTGGAAGGCCAGGCACATGACGGCGCTGGGCACCTCCACCACGGCCGACGGCTGCCGGGGGTTCAAGCCTCGCCTGTCCAGGTTCCAGGCACACACGAAGGACTTGAGTGTGCCCCAGTCCCCGTCGTCCAGCCTGCACAGAGATGAGGCCGGGCGTCCATCTCACCTTGCTCCTATCACCTGACCCACCGTTTCCGCATCACACCCAGACTGTACTGGGTACTGAAGGGGCGCAGTGTCTCCATGGCACCCCGAGGCGCAACCTCTAGAGAAGGGCTCCCGGAACCAGCGAAGGGTCCACACGATGGCAGGGTGGGGAGCCGGGGCCGCAGCAGACAGCTCGTGGAGCAGAGGCAGCAGGCCCCGGCTCACGGCCCTATGCGGACAGGTGGGCACCGGGACTCCTGTGCTCTCAGCCCTCCCTCCTCTGCTCTTTCCAGCCAAGCTGGTGCCCAGGCAGCCTTGAGAATAAAAAGACTCCCAGAATGGCCAAGCTCCAGGCCAGCCCTTGACCACACAGGGAAAAAGAGGCTTAGACCAGGGTCTGAGGGCCTCCCAGTGCCCTGCAGCCACCGTGGCTGCCACTCACCGGCCGTAGGCACAGGCCACCACAGAGCCGGTGGTGTTCCAGGAGACACTGGTCACGTGCAGACCCTGCCTCTGGGCTGGGGGGTAGCCCAGGGTGTGCAGACAGGTCACCTGCAAGAGACAGACCATCTCCAACCCTTAGCCCAGAGCCACCCAACAGGTGGCCTCACAGCCACCTCAACAAAGCTACACACAGGCCTGGACGTCCCAAGCCATCGGGTCCGCTGCCCAGTCCTGGCGGGAAGCGCGGAGGCTTCGTCCAAACACCACTCCTCAGAGGAGACTTCCAAAAACCCAGAAGAGGGGCGCCTGGGTGGCTCAGTCGTTAAGCGTCTGCCTTCGGCTCAGGTCGTGATCCCAGGGTCCTGGGATCGAGCCCCGCATCGGGCTCC